AACGTTTTTCCAAGCAAAGAACTTGAGATCTCTCAACTGTATTTTCCAGCCTCTTTCTATGGGGACTGTTAATCTCTTTGATGTCACTCTTCCCATTACAGCCCCTTTCAAGCTTCAGAAATATTTAATGGCTGAATACCAGAGCATCTTTCCAGGAATTTTTTTATTAAATAAATGTGCTGTGACTGAGTTCATTTTCTGTAGGTGTACTTACATAAAAAAATTAATAGCAGAAATCTTTTTGAGTCACTCAACTTCAACATCAGTTCAAAATATCCACAGAAAATGCCTTTTTAGATTATGAGTTTGCCCATGGTGTTTGGTCCAAAGTATCCTACTCACCCAATAAATCAAGAGGAAAAAGCTGTATAGTTTTCCTTATAGGACTGCCCCATGATATCTTCAAATGCATCCAGTCCCCTTACACCTTGTAAAAGCATCAGGGCAGCAGAAAGTCCTACAGTCACATCCAGCCAGAGGAGAGGTTACCTCCACCACCAGTGTCCCATACAAACACCCATGACCCATGCTGGCAGCAAGTGGTATACCTCTTTGTTGCATGCCCTGGATCTGTGGTCCAGGAATTACTTACATGGTATTTAGTAGGTTATCAAATGATGAAATTAAAGTGGCATGGTCCACTGGGCAGCCCCAGGGATGATGTTACCTGAGCCACCTCCCTTCCCTGCAAGGAGAGATCTGGATGCTACAGGGATCTACTACCTGCCTGCAGCACCAAGTGCAGAGAAGTCACTATTAGATGAAGGTGGTGGCTTGGACACAGGGGCAAATAGGGACAGAGGGAAAGGGAGCCTGAGTAGGGAGGCTGTGTAGGGATCAGGTTGGTGGCACCAAGAAGGCTGTCCTCCAGCAGGACTTGCAATGTGCAGATCTGGTTCTTATTGCTGCCAAGATTCAGCCACCACCAAGTACCTGTTCTCCACAAAGTCCCCAAAAATCTAAATACTGGAGGGGAAGGGGGGTCTGAGTTACCCACTTCACATACAAGTCTACATACTAACAGGCACTCAAAGGCATGTTGGGCAGCCTTACTCCACGAGGAAGTGATTTCACTGGGACTGATTCTCCTTTCATATGAAACATCACAAATCCTCCCCAAAGGTGGAAGTATTTATTTTGAGGCATTACTGTAAGAGTGGTGAAGATCAGTCTCAACACAACCAAGGCTTATCCCAGAAGGAAAACACACTGTAGAGAGATTATCAGGTGATGAGCACCGAATGAGAAGGTTGCTGAAGAACTTGTAATTGGATATGAGAAAATGCCTGTTCCCCGTGGTTTCTGCTGAAGCTAAACATAAGCTAGTTCCCCTTGTCATGGCCAGTATGTACCTGGGTGATGCTCTAGCACAAATTGAGTTAGAAATGCTATTCACATTTCTTTCCTCCATCTGAATCTGTGCTTCAATTACCTCCCACTTCACTCTTATAATTTGCAACAAATTTGTAGCAGTTCCAAATGATTATGGCCAATTTCCCAGCTGGCAATTTCAATAATAAACAGAATTAGATATTTTATTTACCTCAGTCAGTTTTAGATTTCCCATACATGCTTAAATCTTTGACAACTGTTTCTACACAAGCCTGATTTGAAGGAATGGAAGTGACAGGTGGCAGTAGCAATCATTTCTACTTCTATGAGGTTTCCCGCAGCTCTAAATAGTTTCGATTAATGTCTGTGCTTCTCACTTTCTATCCATCATCACTCATGTATCAGAGAGATCTGACTGTTCAGATAAGTAAACAACTCTTCCCTTCTCAGTCTAGTTCAAGTGTAGATATCTCTTATTTCTAGAATAGTAAAAATAAGTCATTTTATGGACAAGGACATTGGGTTCTTCCTTAGTTTTATGTATGCTGTTCGTCCTAACACTTTATGTTTAGTCTTCCTCAGGGACAACTCCCACAAGATCTTCAACAGAAAATATTTTTTAATAAATGTTCTGATAAAACGAAAACAAAACAAAACAAACAAACAAACAAACAACACAATTTATTTTCCCCCTTCCTCTCCAGGTCACACATACTCCTTATGGAGTGTACCACAGGCAAAATTATTTCAGCTGCTGTAGTTGGAAACAGGCTGTATGGTTTTCAAATAACATGCTGAGGTGTTATCATAAAATCCATTCATAAATAGGCAGGAAAACCTACTAAAATGTAGTAGACAACTACTTGGACCTATTGATTTTAAAACTAATCTTTTAGCACAGAATACAGTGTTCCTAGGCTGTACACTTCATGCACTCTGTTTCTCATATTTGACTATCATAAGACCTTGACAAGGTATTTGGAGACTCTAATCTAATGTACTAAAAATGTTGGTTCTTCTTCAGTGGAAGGATTTCATAATTAGATAGCTTTATAGCATTCAGTGAACCTTATTATGTTCAGAAGAATTCCATATTTTGCTCCAACATCTGCCTCCAGAAATAATAATCATCTGGCAGCTCATGCAGCTTACCACATCTGGTGGGAAGAAGCAGTACCCATTTCGAAGGGACTCACAGCTTGTTAACTAGGTTCCCTCTGCAGTCCATCAATTCTGTCCATAAATCTGTAACACCGATATGTCTAGGATGGGATTAATTGTTTTCTGGAGATGCTAATCTCACTCTCTCCCTTTTCCTTCTTTGTTGAGCAGAGGTAGACCTAAGGACTAGCTTAAAACACTTAAATATATCTATATCTATATATTTATATTTATATAGCAAAGGCTAGGCAAAGTATGTAAATATAAGCTTTTACTTTTCTTACCCATTCTTCAGAAAGCCTATGATTTCTGTAACCTGGGAGCATCCTTTGACGTTACCAGCTTTTATGTACAATCTTAGACAAAGATGGTAGCTCACCGATATTTCTGGTTTCCCCTAAACCAGTTGCTCTGGGATTCAGGTGTGATGTAAGCCACCTAAATTTGTGTGTCTCTACAGTGGGTTTACATGTGACCACGCTACAATCACAGCGAGGGGAGATCTGGTTCTTGCTGTTGGTGGAGTCGAGACAAACAAGGATGTTTTCCTCAGAAGCACACCCTGAGTGGGTGACAGCATACTGTAGCAACTGGCCAAACCTTTTTTTCTGTTGTTTTCACTCTATAAATCAATTTTAATTTAGAAAGGAAAACAAACAAAAACAATCTGAGAAAAATATCTAAAACAGCCGGAAGGGACTTTAATACCAAAAGACCATGAAAATCTGAGGTTATTTTAAAGGAGGAGGTTCAAAAGAACCATGTGCTATTGTAATAGGTGTAATAAATTTAATAAATTTAATTCACAAGCATTTTAAAGCATTTAGTGTAGAAAGTAGAAAAACCTCAATGAAACTAGTGACATATCTGCTAGGAAGAAAGAGCAGATATCTGTGTTACAGGTCCAGGTGGCAGACTGTTTCCCAGGCTGGGATGTACCTATAAATACCAGTCTGTCAGTGGCAAGCTGCTGGAAGTGGTTGGCACAGCAGATAGTATCAAACCAACAGGCTGTGGAGCTTTCATATTGGTCAAGCAAGCACTAATCTCTGCTGACACCAACAGAGTCTCAGCCCCACTGGAAAGATGTCTCAACCCCATCTTCTCTTCTGCCTGAGACGTGGCTGCTCTGTACAGGCAGGGAGGTGAGATCTGGTTTGCCTGCACCCTGCAGGGCTCACTGTGTGCCAGAGAAGGGAAACTTTTCCAGCAGAATTGGAGAAATCCACTTTGACAAGGTACAAATTCATCTGCTTGTCTCTGCCACCGAGCTAACACAGCTGCTGACACAGTAATTGCCTATTGATGATCAGACACACAGCTGAGGTGAGAGTAAAGTCTGTAGAAAAGATTATTTGTCTGGTGGCTGAGACACAAAAGCTCCAGATTTGAGACAACGTGATTAAAATTGAATATTTGTTAGGAGCTGCAGTGACTGCTGCTGAAAAACCCCATCTCACCATTGGATGTCGGAGAGATGCAGCCTGGTATTGACACGTCTCGGCAGTCACTGAGGGCAGAGGTCTTTGCTCTATTACTCAGTGGGTTTGGACTGAGAAATTCTAGCTACTTGCAATAGTGACTTTCTGTCAATAGATTTTTATACTACTTTTAACAGGTAACTGAGCTAGCTGTAAGAGCTCAGTACCAAACACACCAAGTGGAAGAAGACTCTGTTCAATAAAATGCCAATGGAAGGTATCTCCAAAAGCCAACCCAGGGCACAGGGAGCATAAAAAACCTCCCAAGATGCCTCCCCTGATGCCAAACTTAGCCCTGATGCCTCAATGAAATGCTTAAAATAAGTGGCATAAATGCACAGTGCAATGCTCTAGTTAAGGAAGGATACAAGAGGTTTGTGCAGCAAAGAATTCCAGCAATATACTGAGCAATTAGTTGGTAGGCATTTTGTCTATTTCTTTTTTGAACTTTATGTGTAAAATCTCATTTGCCTGGAAAAAGAGCTTCCTGGCTTCTGCAATGTCACCATTTTATAGCCAACTCATCACCTTGTCCATCCTCCTCCCCGACCCTTGTCATCTCTATTCAATGCCCACGCCTGGCTCCCTCAAAGCTTCATGCATGCACAAAACAGCTACTCCTTCCTACTCAGTCCATTTCTGATTCAGGTAAAGGTCCATTTTTGTTCATTAACCTTACATGTAATACAAGTGATTTTAAACATTCTCCTGGGTATGTATGATAATAGCTTTACTTGAGTAAAGCTCAGCAGCAATTTTGCTTTGTCAACATTGAAAAGGAAAAAAAAATGATGTAAGTAGATAAATGCTGCTGACTGCCTTACACACTAAAGTTCATACATGATGTTTTCAGTCTATGGTCTAATACATAGTAAATTGTAATTGTCTTTCTTTAAATTAATAAAAAAAATAAGGATAACTTCAAAGAAGGAGTGATGGGGCATACCAGCTAAGGACTTAACTCCCAGAAAGTTGTAACTCCTAATTTTTCACTAAAATTCAGCTGTGGAATGAGTTATGGAAGAATAGCATGTTTGAAACTAGGTATAGCCAATTACTTTCATTTCAACAAGATTTCTTGGTTTGCAAGAAATGTCCTAAATCACTACATTATTGCAAAAATCAAGGATTCACTGTTGTGGCAATAACACTTCAAAAATAGCTCCTAGTGGTTTTATTAGTATAGTTTGAACCTGGAATCAAAGTTTTTTTGTTATTCATCTTGTCGATAACAATACCTTTTACTTGTATGGAGTGAGATGAACCAAGTCAGACTTTCAATCTCAAAGAAAATGCAGTTAGAAAAGGCAGTTATTGTCAAATGCTACCCATGATCCTCAATGAAAAGCTTCTTTGTAGAGTAAGTGTCACGAGCTGCACATGACATTTTCTTCTCTTTGGAAATGCACATAGTTAGGCAGCAGGACATCCTCATTGTGTTGCAAGCTTTTATCTTCAAGAGATCTTTTCAACATGCTGGTCCTGAAGGCTTTGCTAACAATAGCTGACAAATGTAGAGTCAGGCTCCATCACCTTGCAGAAGCTTACTAGAACTGGAAAATTACTGGAAAAATTGTCTTCCACATAAAATTCCAGTTTTCTTCTTGGGAGGTTTTAGATGGTTTTCTTCTATGTCTGGACACAAAGTTGAAATGTCTATGTTTCCACAGAAAGAAAATTCAAAAACATTTTCATTTGGGCGTAGCATTTGTTTTTGTAACACGAAAACCTTACACTTTGAAAAAGTTGGATCTGAATAGTATCATCTTATATAATATTAAACACAATGTACTTAAAATAATATATAAGCACAGAAGTACATAATATATATAGATAAATACATGTATATAATATCAAACACAATGTACTTAAAATTATATTTAACTATGTAAGTATATAATATGTACAGATAAATTAACACTAAAGACAAAAATTGATATGGCATTTTGAACAAAAGTAGGGCAAATTATTATATTTCTCCCCCCCCCCTTTTTTTTCACATTAAATTACTTCTGCAGAAATGCTTTCACTGTATCAAAACTACATTTTTCTGATAAATATTTTTCCACCAGTACTTTTTAAGTAGCTGTGCTGGTAATAGGAGAGTAGACTATACTGGAGAGAAGCCCACAGTGTAGGTCCTCTTCACACATGTATTCTGCAAGCAGATGTCTTGAGGACACTCACTGACAATCTTCCATTTGTTTTTTTGCTTTCCTAAAAGTTTCATTCTACCTGAGACTTGTGAGTTCTCTTCATTTAAACAAGATTTTGGGAGTATTTAGTACTGAAACTTCAATGCTTACTTTTGCAATAGTATCTTGACTCCATCTAATGTTCAGAGCCTCATGCAGTATCCTCTCAAATTCTGGAAAACAATGAAGCCTAGTTTCAATTTAGTGCAATAAAAAATATTGTTAAAAGTACAATGAAAGCTTTTTTAAAAGAATTACTTCATCACTTTTTTTTTTTTTTTTTTTCAAGGCTGCATGGGCTGCCACCAAACACCTATCCCTAGCAATGACTTCTTCCGCCACCTTTTTCTTCCAGCATCATCAGGGGAGATCAGAAATGTCATTCAGATAAACTGGGACTTGAGATCTTCCGTTCCTGGGGCCATGTCACAATATTATATACTGGACCTTTATCCTGGCATCTACCAGTCACTCATAAATGTCGAATTTAAGAAAAAATAATATGATGAAATGGGCTCCTATGTGATATTGGTGAAGCACTCTGAATGTTTCAGTGTGTTGTCAAGGAAAGGCTTCATTTTGTTTAATGATTACTTCTTTAATTCTGATCATGTTGATGTAAGTATAAAGATCTCATTGAAATGCTATAGAAGATGTAGAAAACAGTATTTTAAAATTGGTATTTGAATATAACTTAACTGATTCAAAAATGAAGTAAAAATTGACATTTTGCCATTAAGATTTGAAATGGTAGATTTTAAATTTTGTTTGCAAGGGAGTATAAACAAACTATGTAAAAAAAGAATTCTTAAAGAAAAAGTATTCGAGACATTTCTTGAATCTTTTATTCCAACAAATAAGCACACTTTAAATTTTTCTTACTTGTGGGGAAAGCAACAACATGCATATATAAGCATACTTATGCACGCATGTGCATAAATATGTGTGCAATACGTTTATATATATGTGTATATATATAAATGTATATCAGCCAACATAAAAGGCTAAACACAACTCTTCTCTGGGAATGTGATGAGTGAAACCAAACTTCATAGCAAAGCAAATAGAAAGCAAAAAAAAATATAAATAAAATATTGCTTTTCACTAATAACTAAAGGATAGCATCACAGGTTTCTTGAAACCTCCTTAAATTGGATTTTGGTGCCCAAGTCCTACACATTGACTCAACAGTGATCAATTTTCTGTCATCCTGAATTTAACAATTACTTCCACAAATAGTGTGAGAGGTCCCATGGCAGCTGGCGTTAGGCTGCAGGGATGCTCATTGCTGGTAAAAAATGAGAAGAAGAAGGAAAGAGAAATAAGATTATGATTAATATTTGCAGTCTGCATCTCACTCTGCTAAGTAATTCCTAGTAGTCAAATAGATTGTACTATTATTCCTATTTTCTTTCTTGTCATAACAGTGTCAGTCAAAGCATTACTAGGGCAACATTGGTCTCACTGCATTATAATATACAGTCATAAATTGAGACCACAACGCTTCTCCATGACAAGATGACATTTTACTATTGAGTGTAAAACCAATTTAGAATTGAATCTGAAAATAAGCACAAGATTGAAAATGGAAAATGGAATTAGAACGTGCCCTAAGTTAGGACTCCAAGTCACACGTTGTCATAAACAGATCTTGTTTTCATCCTTTAGTTGTAAACTCCAACCCTCTGTTCCTTACTGGGAATGGGAATGCTCAGTTGTTAACAGGAGAGTTATTCATGGGGACAAATGGGCTGAAGTGGGGCCTGAGGAGAGGAGGAGGGTTTCCCCTTGGGTTATGTCTTATTAAGAAGAGCTTGGAGAGGAGATAGGTATGTAATGCATGGAGAGGGGAAGAGCACACCTGTGAGATCACAAATCGAGCACACCTCTTTTCCAGCCTTCAAGGGCGAGGATGTGCAAACCAGAGAGCTCCCTTTGCAGCTGAGAAGACAATATTTCCAGATTTGAAAAGGAAGGAGGAGGAGAAGAGGAGCAGCTCGACATTTGGGGGAATGACTGGCACAGTTCTCTGCAGCAGGTTTTTCTGAGAAAGACAGACAGGTTTTGCTCTTACAAAGACTGGATTTATCTTCTCAGACTGGATTTATCAGCATAAATAGAACGATGTGGATGTGCCTCCTGTGTTGAGGCATCCTGCACACTGGGCTGAGGATCCAGCAGGAAAACCTTCCTCTCATCACTTATGCGCTGGCATGAAGAGAGCCTGCAGAGTGCAGGGAGATAAGCCTCAGCTGCTCAGCAAATGCACGATGTGCCTCAGCGAGTGCATTATACAAATAAACTGATACTTGATGGGTTTGCAATTTAATTGTGAAAGCTTATGGAGTGGAACACTGTTAACAGCATAAAAGGCATTAGTTGGTGGGCGTCTCTGTGCCGAACCTAGAAAGTAGGCTCAGCAGCTGTCCTCGTTTTCTCCTCATTGATTTTTTTCTCCAGTGGTGAATTCAGTCTGTGCCGTGGCACCACGGTTGCCATATGCTCCTTGACCTGCTGTGCAATGCCCGTACATCCTCTGAGATGGGGACAAGGCAACCAGGAGCAGCCGTGCACTCGGGGTCCCTCGTGCTGCCCCTGAGCCTGTGCCAAGGGAAGGGCACGCCTGACGGGCACATTGCTCTCCTCCAAGGCAGCCGAGCAATGAAAGCTGGCTGCTTGCAAATAAGAAATGGCCACGGCCACTCAAAATGAATATGAATAACAAGCTCTGAGTTCAGTTGCTTGGCTCGCTTCCTGAACCACCTTTCCAAGACTGTTAGATTTACATTAAATTCTTGATATTGGACTAACCATTCCTGAAGCCAGCCCATTTACTGTCCAGAGTTATGCTTTTCCTCATCATGCTGAACCTTGATTTTTATTCCCTCCTCAGATTTCTCTTTCTGTAGCCTTCTCCTGACCTTCCAACCTGCCTTTGCCTTCATGCATCAAAACTACCCCACCAAACACAAAGTCAGCTTATGCATTTAGAGTCTAGATTGTTTCCAAACTGCCCCTGCACTTACTGAATGGCAACTATGCATCTTCTCTTTTTTTCCCTCTTTCACTCCACATGACTTCAGAAGTGCTTTCCATTTATTGAAATGTAAAGAAAACGTAAGGTAATCACAGGGTATAATTTAGCTTGCCTTTTGGCAGTTTTTCACTCTATCTCAATGCTTTCTGACCTCTAAGGCTGAAGAGGATTTGAGTTAATTTATGGCCACTTTGCTCTGCAGAAGCCTGGAGTGCTCGTACAATCAGTTCTGATGTCTTCAGCGCTGGAGGAAATGGCCTCCAGGTGACAATAACCATTTGAACCACTTTTGGTAGAGCTATGTGAGCACGATTTTTAACACCATCCAGCACCCTGCAGCATTTAATGACTTTGTAAATCAAAGAAGAGTACCCTCAGACTGGTATCCTGTAGAAATGGATGGGAAGCAATACTTTATCTGAATACAGTGCTCCAGTCTAAAAATTGAGACAAAAAAAAAAGAAATAATAACAAAAATTTAGAACTCCAACTAAGTTGTGACATTGATTAATACTGATTAGCTGTTTCTGAACTGTAAAGAAAACTACAAGAAACACAAAGAGAAAAGATGTCTTCTGATAATAGTCCTAAGACTCTACCAGAGGATTATTTTTCTGCCTCTCATATCATACAACAAATGCTGGAGGAAGTTGCAACAGTAAAAAAGACAGAAAGATATATTCTGCTGTTTTAATTAAAAATTATTACAAAACTTGGTTTTATTAGTATCAATACAATATCAATCCATAGCTCCTGGGGGAGATATCCTGTATTTCTCATTTATGAAGAAAGAGAGGCATGCGGAAATATATTAAATCAGAGCCAGGAATTTTAAAAGTGTGTAGCTGGTCTTACTTCAAATTAAAAAGCGATGTTATACAAATCATTGCTATTTTTATTGACAAGGCTCTCTAAGCAGCAAAATTATTTATGTGCTTTGCTGTTGCAGAATGTTACCCAGTCATTTTGCACGGTTGAAAATAAAACTCATGCTACAATGTCATATCCAAAATCTGAGCACCATGACAGCTGTCTAGCAGTGGTCATAAATTTTTTGGCCATGTTCTTGTAATAAAGAACATCTCTGGCAACTACAGCTAGAAAAATATCTGCTCCCATAAGAAAATATTCTCCCAACCAAAACACTTCTCATCTGTGTTTCTTTTCAGTGCTTCCTCAGCCAAGATGAAGTCTTGTGTTTGTGTTGTTTCAGTTACATTAGTACTCCACGGGTTGTGAATCACCATAAAAAACTGCACTACCCACCCAGCCCTAAAGGACAGAGAGCAGGAACAGATCGTGCCGCCACTGCGTTTTGCCATGGGAGAAAAATCAATACCTGGAAAACATCTGTAAATTTACAGCTAGGAGCTTTCAATATATCATATGGTAGCAAGATGGGGTATGCTTTGCCGCTGAGGTATACAAGGCATGTCAGCCTCCACTCTGAAGAATAACCCAGAAGCTGTAAATAAACCTCTTTTCCCAATACCTCTGAAAGGAATAAAGCAGCTGCATAGACCTGGTGGCTGTTCCCTCGTCTCCAGTTGTATGCTCAGGCATTTGAACCTGGAGCTTGCTCCTGGTATTTTTCCTCCCCGGTCCAAGGGCATCCTTAATATCACAATAGACAGGAGTCACTTACCCATTGCTGTAGCTCTCTTCAAGACAGCTCTTGATGTATATTTCAAGCTAGATGTGTTTATTCCCCAATTCAGCATCAATTTATTATCACCCTTCATACAGACCATGAGACTGCCTACAGTACCTGCAAGCTTGCATTCAGTGCAACACTCAGGTAGATGACTCCGAGCATGCAATAATTTCTTAAAGGAAAAACCACAGCACTAGCTTTGGAGAAGCAGGATATTTGTTTTTCTTAATCAGAACAGAAATTTCTATACTTTTTTTTCCAGCTTTATCTTTTTCAGTGGTCAAACTTAGCACAAAGAATAGTGACTACATGACTCACAGGGCTGAATGTCAAAGGCCACAGAGAAGTTTTGGTATGCAAGGCTCTTGGTCCTGCCACTGCAGTATTTCATGCTGACAGAAGCAAAATAACATTATTAGACTGGGGATGAGCCAAGCGTTATCACTTCTACTCCATTTAAGAATTAGTCATCAGAGGAAAGACAAGTTCAATTGAATAAGAAGTAATGGCTACATTTCCTCTGCTGTTACCTCGGAGCCCCACTCTGTGTGAGAAGGAATGAATTTAAAGAATGAGAAAAAGCCCTTACATGAATATATATGAAACAAGGTACTGCAGGGGTAAGCATACCCTAAGTTCAAGAAAGACCAGAGGGGAAGAACTAATGAGGATAGTTGAAATATTTTAAGGTCTTTCATTCCAAATATCTATATTTTATAATTAGGTTCTAATAATTTTGTACTAAGACATATTCATTAACAAATGCAAGTTTGTTAGCAATGTTTTAATCTATATTTAAGATTATTATTAGAAGGAATTATAAATTGAGGTCTGTATCAATCCTACTATATAAAATAGCTCTCCAGTAGCATAAATGTAAACGAATGCTTCCACACACACACACACACACACACACACACACAAAAGTAAGAACAATAATATCTGAATTATATTTTGCTGGCACAGATATCAAAATGTTTTATGTATTAACTGTATGATGCTCACTTCAATATAAAGCAGGAAGATAATTTATAGGATATAGTCAGAATTGCAGAAGTGCCAGTACCTTTCAGTTGAACTACGGAGAGGAAAGTAACTTAAGAGACAGTGAGAAATCAACATTCTTGGCAGGAACACTGTGTGTCATTGACTATAGGACATCATATCTCTATTAAGATAGACCAAGAGTGTCTGAAGAGAGCTGGTAGCCCAGAACCCATGGGTACAATGTGTTATGCTTCTCATTGAGGAGAAGGAAAATAGTGCTCCAAAGACGGAAGATTAAATGGAGAGGTTTTGTATTTTGAAAGCACTCTGTGAACTACCATGGAGAAACATCCTAGAGCAAGTATATCAATAAAGCTTTCTCAAACCAGTCAATGACAATACCAGGTTTGAGCATTATCTTTGAAAAGTTCCCTGGGAGTCCAAGTGAGGGGGATATGGCAAAGACCAAGGTGGAAAATTGCGTTTTTAGTAAAGAGATTAATATTCACAAGGAAACTAAACCACAGCATTTGCCAGCTACGCTTACTATGCTTCAGTGTTTTTTTTGGTGAAGTGTTAGGATTTGGCCCTGGTTCAGCTGAAATCAGGAGTAATAGTCTCTGAAGGGAATGGAGTGAGGGCCATGGAGTGGGACAGGCACAGACAGAAAAACATTAAGAAAGGTTCATTCTTCCTTAGGACTTATTACATTTTTTTTTTATTATTACTTATTGTACTTTGTGTGCGTGTGTGTGTGTGTAGCCTGATTTGTCTATATGTACTTCTGAATAGGGAAATGAAATATTTTTTCTGTAACTGTTTCATGTATCTCTATATTTTCTTTTTGTATATTGCACTTAAGGCCAGATTCTGCCCCTCTATCCACATTAGCAGGTAACTTTGATTCAGTGCATGAGCAAGCCCATACAAATCAATGACCATGGGTTTAATGCAAGTGTTTGCAGTATGGAACAACTCACTGCTCCTAATGGAGCAACTGTTGGGATCCATGGGGGAAATGTTTAATTTTTCCTTGGTAATGTAAGTTAAGACATCAATGGAAACAACTAATTTTGGTGAAAATTCAATCCCTCCCTCACCCAAAATGCTTAGTACTCAGACTCTTGAATTGTGATCTTTTATTTTTTCTCTACTGGGAGTGTTCTCCTGGGCAGCAAAATGACAGATACTGAAGTCGTCAGTATTAAAGCTGTTGAGAAAGGTGCTGAGAAAATGTTTAAAAAAGAAGTGAGGAGATACTTGTATGCCATTGCTGAGCTCAACTTGTGTGTTATAATCTTGTGAACAGCTGGCTTTTTAGTAGGACTGTAAAATAGAGCTTCCACTCCACAATATCACAAAATGCAGTTTTCCGGAAGAGTATCAATACAACAAAGGTAAAGTGGGTGAGATGAGAGCTTTGATGTTTTTAACAAGAAGAGAACTCATTTCTTTTTTCTTTTTTTTTTTTTTCTCCCAATTCTCCCTAGCTAATTTTACTTGGCATGTTTGAAGATATGAATGTGCATGCATTCCTTCATAATTAAATGCTTCTTTGCAATTAGCACAGCTAAATGCAGCATCACTGCATCCACAGATTCAGGAGGGATCAGGCTGCTGCTGGCCCTGATCAGTTAGAGGCAAAGAAATGAAAGCATGAGCAGCTATGGCCACAGTGCAATGGGTGTCTGTGGGACACCAAATGAATAAAGTAAATGAATGAAGTAAAGGAATAAAGCAAAAATGTAACACAACATGCTGTGAGGAGATGCAACAATTGCCCAGGATAATCTGGGCTGAGAGATAAAATAAGAGAATAAGAACGCCTTGAAATAAAACATTTTCTAATGGTCAGGAAACAACTGAAAAATAGCACTCAGCACTCATTGAACAGCACCTAGAATACTTCAGTTTTGGGCCCCAGTCCAAATCCCTGCTTTGAACATGAGACCTTCCGACATCCCTGCCAAACGTGAAAGATTTAATGGTTCTTTAGTGGTGGGTTATGACAATGTTAAGACCATGACCAAGTTCAGATATATCCCCAAAGAGAAGGCATTGGATTTTAAAGGAAGTGTAGCACTGTTTTTGTAACAGTCAATAAGGAGACCAATAATTGCCCTGAGATTTACTATAATTTATTTGGAAAAAGGTTTTCACTTGCTTCTGGTTGACTTGCAGATATAGGAGAGCATTCAAAAGGAACAGATCAGAAAAAACATTGCTGTCATGGCTTCAAAGAATGTTTTTTTCCCTAGGGGTCTGCAGACACAAAGTGACAAAGGGGCTTCGGCACTCCAGTGGGATGGCAAAAAGTTAGCCGTGGTAATTCACTCGATTCTGATGGCAAATTAAATAATCCTGTCATTTGTGAGCTATAGCTAAAATATAAAGCCTTTTTTTTTTCCCCTAATGAAGATAGATTCCCTAGAGTAAATAGCCTCATCTCTCAAGAGAGGAAACAAAGCCCTAGTTGAAAAGGCTGTTTTCTTCGTAGGCACTGATGCTTCAAACACAGTGACATCAAAAGCTTTCGTGAGGTATGTTTGTCACTATAAAACTGAAGAGGGAATTATCGATTGCTTGCTGGACTGCTTGGAAGGCACCAAACTATTTCCTGTTGGAATAGTTGAAAATGATGGTGAAGCTATTTGCTTTGGTGTCACATGCCAGCAAAAGGGAAGTGACAGTGAGCATTTGTGGTAGAAAACTGCTGCCTACAGGCATGGCAGCGGGTGTGCTACGGGGTGCTCATTGCTTCCTTCGGAACAGTCTGCAGCCCATGCCGACCACTTTCACCTGCCCAAAGAGCTTTGGACTTGAAAGGTATTGAGTTTTGTCAACTTTGAAGGTATGAAGTGAGGCACTTCCTCACTTGATGGTTCTTTCGCATTTTGTACCTTAGGACAAGGAGTCCTAAAATCCTTGCCCATTGCCACTAGGTATTTTTCTATTACAGATAAGATGGTTCTACTGCAATTTAGATCCAGAAGAAAGGATGAAAGTGGGAAAGGTGAAGAGAGTCTTTTGATGTTTGAGTACTATTTCACTTCCACAAGGTACATAATATGACTCCGAGATGCAATTTGACAATTACAACAGTCCAATCTTGTATGCCTATGGTCTACAGCATCATGATTGGAAGACAGCCTAACACAAAGATTTAACGTTGTTTAGTCAGGTGCTTATCTGCAAATATATCATAACAAAGCAAAACAAACAAATTCCTTAAACCATAAACGGAGTTCACTCGGAGGTAAACACAGTTGTTTCCCCATTTTGACCTCAGGAAAAGAAATATATATTGAGAGAATGCCAGTAAATTGCAGGCTTTCAATCAATAATTGGCATTGAGGAAGGACATGGCACCACATAAGAAATCTAAGTGTTTTCATTTGCACAGTGGTAGCTGGGGGCTTCTGTGTGGTAGTCTCATAAATACAGGATACCTCAGAGTTACTGTGTCTTTAGTCATCAGTTTTTACAGAGACATTTTATTTCTCTGGGTAACTTTATAGGTGCAATGCATTTTTTGTTTTGTTTTGTTTTATTTTGTTTTTGGTTGTGTATCTTGTTTTTCTTTCTGCAAAGGATGACTTGGGGTAGTTTTACTCAGTTCATCAGTTAAGCAACTGTTTCACCATTCTGCAGCTATGGTTGTCTCCCCTCCTCCTTCTTCTCCCTCCAGGGATGGGCAGTCCTCAGCTCAGGAGGAAAAGGGATTTTGGGAGGGACATTGAGCATCACATCCTGGGGTTTTCTTATGGAAAGAAAATCCTTCTGCATATATATATACACATATTTCTTTCTGAGAATACTGTGTTCTCCACTGCTTTGGAAGAAAGCTAGGCTTGTTCTTCAGAAAGTGTTAAAGACTGTGACTTCACAGACATGTCTGCACATATTCAACAAGTCTGACATTTCAGTTCAGGATATTTTACCCTTTTAAGCACATATGAACAGAATCTGAGCAGGCAGCTAGGTTGGATTATGTTCACCGTTTTCCAGTCTGACTGCACCTTCTGTCAGAATTTGGTAATTCTTACAAATTAATGCTTAAAGATAAAGTAGAGTATCCCATATGGAAGGGAAACATAGTGTCTCTCCCTAAGGCCCACCACATTGGTCAAGTTATTCCTTGTTCAGAGGAGGCATCTTAGGAAGTTAATGTCCATGAGTGATGCACTGGGGTAGCAGCCTTTCAGTACATGCCAGACTCCTTGCCATGCCTCTCAGCTGGTTGGATGTGTCCTCTTGCTTTG